AGGAAAAATTTCCCTCATAGCACACTGTAAGGCGTATGCCCATCTTCATTAGCCCAATAGGATCAGTCAGAGCAGAACAGTAAGATGTTGAACCCCATTTCATTTCTAAGATGTTACAACTCTTATGTCATACTAAACCTAATTGGGTTAATGAGAGATGTTAATCAAGAGTAAGACCGAACTATGAATAACCAGAGAAAGGGCTTCAATACAGACTCTAGTCAGCCAGAACTCAAATATTGGATTGTTTTCAACTTGTACCACTAACAGTACAACTTGACAGTTGGGTCAACAAATATAACTCACAACAAAAATACCCATATTTTAACTTTTAAAAATCTGTTTCAGCAAGCACAATCAAATATATTCTAACTTTGGGAAATTAACTATCAGCAAACAAAATGGCTATAGAATCCTTTATTCATGTTTTAGTCAAATTAGTTTTTTTTGTAGTTCTCCTTTCTTAAATTTTCATAGATTATGTTTGATCATGTGGATGTCAATTTAATATACATGTTTATCTTATATACCACAGTAAATAATGTATATAAATATGATAATATTAAAACAATGTTGCTACTTATCTGATACATTGTTTAATTTACTGTGCAATATCTGATATATATGCACATAACACCGTTACCAATCTTAGTCATGCATATATAGCTGTATTTATTTTGTGAGGAGTTGACTATTTGAAACATTTTTCAATGTTTTATTTTGTTTCCGGTTTTATGCAAACTTGGTTTAAATGATTCTTGTGAGTCAGGACTAAATCACGGCATGATAAAGGAATTGTAAAATACTGAAAGGAATCTATTGCCAGGAATAAAGAGTACGAGAAATCAGGAATCATTAAGATGAAGAAAAGGTGAAGAAATCTATTGAAATGTAATTTAACATAGTATACCAATCATTAATTTTTAATATACTTTAAATCACTCTACTTCTGAAGAAATCAATTCAGGATGACTACACGTTTACCCGGAGTCGACTGTACTCGACAACATATACCCAATAGGGTAAATAAAAAAATAACACTCAAGTAACCATTTTAACTCAGGGTCCTATTGTGGTGTATTTAACGAGCAGATCAAGGTTTCTCCCAACCTCGTCACTTCATCGACTCAAGTTTGACTAGATTCGTTCAACATGTATCACAACAGAAATAAACAGCAAAAATCAATTTTTTGTCCAAATAAATTTACATCGCCTGGAAACTGAGTAAAATAAACAACCTGTATGTTCTATAAAAACCTATAAATATTCCTATTTCGTAGCATTGTCAAACATAGGATGATACATCAAATTGTACGTCAAAAATATGCACATCACCCAGCTTCCTTTTATTCTATAATTTGCTTTTTTTACAACAAAAATGAAAGCTTTGCATCCTTTTATGGATGTAACATCATTCCTGATAATTTGTCATTTTTGACAAAGAAAATTACAAAATCACAAAAAAATGAAATAGAATACTTCAGATTTCTCTGTTCACACACAATGTGCCAATTCATCAAATTCTTATAATCTAAATTTGATGAATGAATAATCATAATCTTAGATGTCTAGAATACTTGCAACTCCACAAAATCACATGGAAGAATTCTCAACAAAACTCTTTCATCTTTTAGATACAATTTGATTGATATAAATATTGCAATTTGATTGATTTCAATATTGCAATTTGATTGATTTCAATATTGTAATTTGATTGATTTCAATACTGTAATTTGATTGATTTAAATACTGCAATTTAGAACCAAGGGTAATTAATCACATATAACAATATTGATATTATTGAAATTTTGAAGATGTTAGGGGTACATTGATAGTAGAATCCATTTTGGTGCAGGAAGTGGATGTAAATGTTATGCATTATTAATGGTTATAATACAGAAGGTTCACCATAACTTGTATTAAATATGAAATAATGAATTGTTGTTTAGTTTGGGTTTATATTTCAAGTATCTACATATGTTATCAGAGTGGTTATCAATTTTATATATTAATATAGAAAGGGTTTTATATGTTAAACAATTAAAAAGTATGCTATAAGTTATAGTATTAATATAGAAACTGTGCATTACAATGTAGTATTGTACCGTGGGTTATAGTTTAATTATATACTTATACATGTATTAATACAGAAACGGTGTATTACAATGTACTGTAGGTTATATTTTGTATGTTAATAGTTTAATTTGAAACAATGTATACAATAAATTGTAATAATGTAATATATACTATAAGTAATAGTTTAATCATACATACAGGTATTGATAAAGAAACAGTGTATTACAATGTACTGTAGGTTATATTTGTATATTAATAGTTTAATTTGAAACAATGTATACAATAAATTGTAATAATCTATTATATACTATAGTTTTATTACAATTTAATATTAAATTATAATAATTGGCAACAATATATAAAATATTGTATACAATGTAACTTTGATATATTGTTATATACCATGGTAAAAGTGTTTAACTGATAGAGAATAGTTTTATAGATAGAAATAGGTATAGTATATATATAAAACCACTATTCTCGATATACATATGGTTTATTTCACTGTTTCTCTTATTATCTCACATTAATCTGGGCAACATTTCGGTTAAAAATATCACAGAACTAAGATTCAGATTTTTGATCTTCCCTACAGCTATATTCTCAAATCTCAAAGACTTTCATCTAAACTGGAATCATGCTGCTTAAACCCTGTCCAAGTTTGAAAATGTCAAAAATTCACAAACCCTTGAGTAATATTAGAGGCCACTTGAAACTGAGTTGTTCTTTAGAAAATATTCATTCAATAATTCATCTAAACCATGCAAGTTAATTAACTGTCTTTAACATTTCGAAAAAAAAACAACTTAATCAATATTTTTCATAAATTATTAATTTACAAATTACAATCACAGAGTTCTTGAAAATTATTGTATTACTGGCTCATAAAAAATACAACATAATCAAAATTACAAAATCAATATATGAATAAACTAATTGAATATTCACAAAATCAATAACAAAAATGTCTGGATTTGCAAAATTATTATTCTATATATTTTCTCAAGTAAATAGCTTGTTTTTAAGTCCCATGTTAAAAGGTTTGGGTTTTTTTTTCAAGGGGATTTCAACACAATCAAGGGTTTAGCTTATTACTATACGTTTTGTTAAAACTACACTCTTTTATAAAAACATTGTAATTGTTAAAAGTGTTAATACACCAAGACTTAATGTAATTTTCCTCAATTCAATAATAGTTAATCTTTATGTTTTTGTAAGGAACTGTGTTCTTGTGAAAACACCGGATGAAAAGAAAAGAATCCCAAGAAGAATACGTCTATTGAAAACCGTTCAATGAAACGAAGACAGTTTTTGATTAAAATAAATCCACTTTGTTCGCCTTTTATAATCAAATTAAAACCTTGAACGAACAAAAGACAGTCGATCTCGATTAATTATCATATTTTAATATAACATGTTTATGAAATATTAGACAATTCAACATCATGATAAAAAGGCTTCACAATACGGCAAAATAAATCAAACATAAGAATCCATTTACTCACACGACTTCTGATATCTTTGTGAATTATTCTTGAATTTCTATATATCGTTTCAAATCTAGAGAATTTGAAAAACCTTTTTTATTTTTTTTGTTGGTATTTTTTTGTGAGGAATATTAGATAACGTAACATAACTGATAAACGAATTGCACGAGAATACTGCCTTCAATTCATATTGTTAGATGAAGTCATTTTACTCGCAACTGATACACTACTATGAAATATTATCAGAAATTATAACCATTAAAATAATTTGTATACAATTCACCACCTTTTGTGGGGTAAAAACGCGCGAGGCCATTTTATGATTTTATTCATAATCACTGTTAATATCGAACAAAAATTGAATATTTTAGAAGACATTTTACGAGGCCTAACTCTTTTTTAATAAAACGTAAAGAAAAGAAACTCTGAAGTGCCCGAGCTCGGTAACAGGGGCATAAAAAACACCTCTAAATATTGAAATGTTAAACGTTTCGCCATCTGCCCATCTCATTTATATGACTGATATAATTTGAAATGTTTGAAAGTGATTGAATAATCATCACACGTTGACAAACAGTTCGTATAGAGAGAATACAAGTTTGTAAAAAGAAGCGAAGATTTGAAGAGACGGGCGTCCAGAGGCGAATAAAACAACTCAACAACAATACCAACTCACGAGCAACTCGCGTGCTTAGTGGGTGGCGAAAAGAAGAAAAAGCTCTACTTTTAACTCCAGTCTGACACTGACAACTTGAAATCCCGTAAATTAAAATTATACGTAACTCGTTTCTCGAAATACTCGAAACTACACTATCCACGAGGCAATGTCGAAACTTAGAAACGACTAAGTACAAACGCGCGGCAATTGTCAGGATAACTGGATGTCCAATAAACGGGATTGCTAAAAACTTTTCTCAAAACTTTGACAACTCAAGTCCAGAAAGAAAGTTTTTTTTCTTTAAAAGAAAAGGCTTTTTTACTTGAAACCTCTAAACAAATGAATGTACCGCGAAACAAACCAAGACGGTAGTAAACATAGACTATCAGTAATGAAGCTTGCAGACGGCTATAAAATTGAACCTGAATAAGAGCAGACGATCTAAAAGAACATGTGCACGCGAGTTGTCAAAGACATTTTAAAAACAAACCTATAAAGTAGAAATGGTTGAAACTCGTACGAGAGAGAGAAATAAAAAAAAAACAAGTTCCGGATTTGTAAACAACACTTCCAAATAAGTAACAGTATAGACATGATTTAGTTCCTGGGGAATCAAAGAAAAGAACAACTATCTTACAAACTTTTTAGTCCCAAGTAGAGATCCTCCGCTTGTTACATCACAATAAAACACAAGTCCTTATTATATATATGTCCATAAGTCCATCATATCAACAAACATGTGCTGAAACTATGTAAATCAGGCTGCGTATCTCACTTACCCTGTGTGGTTAAATCCTCGGCAACAGTTTTACCTAAATCTTCCAATTCACTCTCAAAGTGTCTCGGTCGTTGCTGTTTACGGCGTGACATGATTTCGACCCCCGGACGTCTTACAGTAAAATGATTATGGTTACACTTTCAATATTTCCATTATATACTTCACCTCACTGCGCATGTCCAAATTATGATTATCAATAATCCGGCCCGTGATTATCATAATCAAATTGTAACCGGCGTTTTGATTGGCTGTTATAGCACCTCCCTATTATCGTTGAGTCGTGTTTGACAGCTGAATCGCGAGATTGTATGATGATGGGTAAGGCTCAGTGAGCAATGTCCAGTGAGAGACAATCACACAATCACACACAAACTTATAATACACCACTGTCCATCTACAAACACCATTGGCTTCAATACATATCGACTCGCTTGTCATAGATTCATCTATTGTTCGACCTCTGACCTCCCAAAATTTCTTTCCAAATTACGTAATGGTGAACAGGATTAACTAGCTGACTGTTCGCAGGCGGTCCGTTCAACTCTATTCCCTTTCATAAATGATAGACCACACAATCATACAATAATATAAAGTTCTTCACAACTTGTGACGAGGATTCAACTGTATCATAACATCACCCGAGTAATGCATCTAACCTCTGTCAAGTCTAAAATATCAATAATACCGTCTCCACAAGACTTTGTCTTCTAATACAGCCGGGCCATAACCTTACAGCGCGAGACAAATACACCATAATTCTCAGCTAACTTTAAAAAATGATATCGCTCGCTATTCTCCAAGTTATGAAAAGAGGCAAGCCTTAGCTGTGTTGAGTCAGCCAATAGGTGGCCCGCCTTACTTTTATATTTATGGAAAATTATCGTCCTGCGTCTGTGTTTTAATTTGTGTAGCTGTTTACTTTGTATATCAAAAAGACATAGAGTAAAACTTGTAAACTTACACTCGACGAGCACTTGAAGAAAATAACGGAGATAACAAGAGCGAATTTAAGACTGGATACAGCTTGCCAATTAGTTCATCTCACGACGGGTGTGCTCCACAGAGAATAATATTCTAATCTGTATCCCCCTCTAGGGACCACTATACGAGTCACACTCAATAACGTTATCAATAAACGGCACAAAATAAACGTTCACAACTTGAACATTGTGATCTGTTTATTTTTTTTTTATGAAAGAAAGAAAAAAAAGCTTTAATTCTGCATTATGATTATAGGTTTTTTGACAGCATTTTCAATCGTTTTTAAATGATTTTTTTTCGAAAATTTAACGATGTTAATACCAACTACACTCAATAATTTCTTCAAAACAATATAAATAAGTTTTTACAATGCTTATTAAAATAATGGGGCTGTCACAAGTGATTTCAAGCATCACCTATCTTCGTGCATGTGTAATAAATCTTCGTAAAATTTGTAATAATAGTTTAAAATGTGTTTTGCTCTGCTTCAACTTGTTTACGATTCTGTAACGTCGATTCTCGAACACAAAATATATTAGAGACCAGAAATAATGAAAACCCTACCGACTCCAAAAATACTTTACACGTTAAAATTCCTGACCACATGGTCTAAAGTGTGTAACCCCCAAGTCTTACTCGTGGAACGCGACTCTCCACACCGTTTCGTCACACGATTTTTCTCGCGGCTCGGCGACAATTCCTCAATATTTCACACCTGATCCGTGAAGCTAACTCACTCTGGGTCGCCCCTCCCGTCAAAATCTTCACCCTACAGGAATTAAAAGAGTTGCCGATAGTTGACATGACATCAAACAACCCTGGGTGATATTTGTGTTCAGAAGCTGGTTTATTTATTTACCAGGGTCGGTTTACCGGAATTTAATTTGGGGGGTAGATTGAACTAACTCGAAAAGTTTGGAAAGATGGATGGATTTGGAAAAGGTAGAAATTGTTTGAACCTGTCATTTCAAATTTAGTACCCTCCCCCTTTAGATGCTAAACCATTCACTAAGACAGTCAATTCAGCCCCCTTGTTAGTTTAGGAAACTGTCGATGTTAAGATGCTTGCCCCGTTTCATTTTATTGACTCAACTAAACCCACATTCACTCGTTGTTTTAGCCCGTAATTTGACAACTTCTTTAACCCCGAGAGATACAAAAGGTACAGACCGCCATTTTTGTTATTTTCTTAAATCTGATTGCTGCTGCCTATATATAATCACGATATTATTTTGTCAGGTATAATTATATATTTTTTAAACGATTAATTGACCTTTTGTTTTATTCAAACATTTCACACCCCTGTCCAGAATTCAGGTTTTATACCTTGATGAATTGTAATATACAAACTTCCGTCGTTAATTCGTCATTCAGAAACAACAACAATATAGGTTGATTCAAAACACTATTTAAATAATCTATCTCTGTTATATATATATTATTCATATATTATATTGTTTTAATATACAATAGGCCTATCTATTCTAAGGAGTGTCATATCACTTAAAAATCAGTGTTTTATTTAACGAGGTAGTACTATATTGGTGGTTTTCTCTGGTTACAATTTCGTTACATCACGAATGTTCCATTTGTATTGACTGTAAAATTTGATACACATCCTTGGGGTCATCGCTGAGATGTAAACGTTTTAGTGTTCAAATTACGACTCGTACAAATAGTTTTCAAATTACGACTAGTACAAATAGTTTTCAATTACGAGTCGTACAAATAGTTTTCAAATTACGACTAGTACAAATAGTTTTCAATTACGAGTCGTACAAATAGTTTTCAAATTACGAGTCGTACAAATAGTTTTCAAATTACGACTCGTACAAATAGTTTTCAAATTACGACTCGTACAAATAGTTTTCAGTGATGTATAAGGAGTTTAGAGAATACCCGTGACAAATGCCTTAGTCTTTAAATAGGTCAGATTTTGAATTTTCGACATTTAGGCGAGTCTGGCGTTTGCCTCTTTAATATTATAATTTTCAAACTTATATTAGTTCCAAAACACAGTATTTTAGTTGACCATGGTCCAATCCAACTTAATTACACGTTTGTTTTCTTTACTGTAGAGACTAAAGGCTCAAATAATTATGATGACGTCTCCTTTCATGTAGGCCTATTTAACGTTATTGATATACGAAAGGCCTTTAAAAACATTCTAAAATCAATGATTTATTTAGATCGATTTAAGGTGTTTTTTGTTAATTTTTCAAAGATCCAATCGATTTTATGAGATTTGATTATTTTTTCTTTCATGAATAATTACATTTCTATCAGAATAGCAATGATTTTTCATTTTGATATTTAAATCTGTTTGGTGTAAATATTTAGATCTTCTGCATTTATCCACACTGTCTTAATTATATACAATCACTAATTGGATTGGGTCGTCTATTGATTGAACGTGGATCGATACACCGAGTCATTTGTGGTCAAAGAGACGGCCATTCGTCTCAAATGAAGCGAAAGCTGCTTTTATTGTGAGTTGAAGATAAAACTACATTCATGAGTATAATCAACCAAACTTGTAACTTTAGACGTTTTCCATTGTCCCACCTTTATACACTAAATAACATACATATACCAACTTAAAACAATCTACATAAACAGTCCAATAACATCCACTGCCATTACAAGATTCCACCATTTTGTGTTTCAAAGCAGTATGGATGCATAATTTCTTTCAATAATTTATACAGTATAATAATATATTATCCCCCCACCCCTCCTCAAAAAAAATAATACAAAAAATACAAAAAAAAAATACAAAAAATACAAAAAAAAAAAATGAAAATTGACAAGTGGGCTGAAATTAAAAATCTCTGGCCTTTGGAAGTCAAAAAATAAATAAGAAATAAATGATGTATTTTATATCAAATCTTTTAAGTAAATAGTCATTGTCATCGTTAAACGAGAAGTTTAAAAGTCTAGAAATTCGAATTCGACAACATTTTTGCATCGTTACGTTAAGTATAAACCCAAACAGTTAAAAGCCATTGAAAGATTAGTGAGATATCAATCCTGACATTGGTCAATTGCTATTTTCACTAAAATTAAATAGTAATACAATATATACATTATATACACTATAACACATCCAAATCAGATACTAAGAACACAAAAGGTCAATTTCATAAACAGGAGAGAGGGAGAGAGAGAGAGAGAGAGATGGGGTTTTAACGTCCACTCGACACAAACCATGTCATTTCGGGACTAACATATAGTTTAATTTTATTTCAATAATTCGATTGCGCTTAGGGGTCTTTAGCAGTGGGAGGAAACCGGAGGACCCGGAGAAAACCCACGAGGTTGGACAGGCGACCCTACTCCTTGTCACGTACAACCGGGGATTCGAAACCACGCCAGCTGACTCAATGACAGGCCTTATGATACAGCGCACACGTGCTAACCATTCGCCCCCCCCCCCCTTTATTAAACAATATATCACATGAGTAATTTCTGATAGATAGAAAACTGTATTTATTTATTTATTTCTATCATAATTATGTTCCTTATATTCCTAATCTACTGTGCAATAATCACCATATATATTCTATGTACCTATGTAGGCTATAGCAAGTGATTTGCCTTGCCTTGTAATAAAGTAACGCAAGATCTGGGGCCTGTTTCTCGAAATCTTAACTAAAGATAAAATCCAAATTTTAGTAGATACTTCAATTTTGATTGGCAAAGCACTAAAATCAGTCTAATATTATCCAATCAAATTCCTAAAATTTGGATTTTATCTTCCGGTCGGTCGGTCCTGGCGTTTAACGTCTACGTCCATCAAGGGTGATATCGAAGACAAATCTGTATTCTTACACAACTTGTGTTTAATAGAATTCTAAACACACGAATCCTAAAACATCGAATCAAAATTATATCTAAATAATTATTATTATTCACCATCTTGGGCGATACTTTCACGGAATTATCCAAGCTGATACTTGGCCTTTGAAGTCGAAATATTTAAAAGATATTAATTAATGTTAATTAACTTACAATCTATTCACGCTGGGCTTCACATTTCAAATTGTGAGTATTCATTATTTTATATTCTGTAAATTAGTTAACGTAATCACAACATTTGAAATTAATGAAATAGAATAAATTTAAAGAGCTTTGTATATGAGTATTAATTATTTCGTATTAAAGCGTCTTTGCGTCCTTTTGAGGGATTAAGGAGTCCGTTGTAAAAAGGGTTTTCAGTTCAAAATGACCAAGTTCCGTTGAGTATTAACAAAAATAGGATAAATTGAAAATGTGTCAACATTTTTTGACATTTTTCACTCTGGGCATAAAGTAAACAGATGAAAACAAACTGGAGTCACCTAGATTTTTCGCTTAAATATTTCGATGGACCTCTTTTTAATCCGATTGAATCCCTTCTAGGGAATTATTTATCGTTGTTATCTATTTTAATCGGGGGAGGGGGGTTTCCCTTGATTAAATGTTGAAAAACAATTTGAGTATATTTTTGCCTAGAAAACTTTGTTATTTTCCGAAAAATGCAAATAAATATCAACACCAGTTAAAACTGAAACATTGATGCCCTAGACTTTTTAAAAAAATTACCTCGGTAAAGACCCCCCCTCCCCTCCCCATCTTTCAATGACGTATCTTGAAATTTGACACGTTTCGTATACTACACATATTCACGAGTTGATGGAATTGATGTTGTTGTAATGCATTCTTATTAATTTTAATTAATTCTTAATTAATTCAAGAGGAAAATGATTTTCATTATTTTATCTATTTGATTTAGCTGAG